GGGAAGGAGTGCCTTTGGTGCATCCTCCAGGCCAGATGGTATATTAAGAAAAACTGGATATTAGGAAAAGCTTTTTTACATTAAGAGTTGTTCAACAGTGGAATCAGCTACTTGGGGAGGGGGTGAGCTCCCCCTCACTGGTAGTCTTTAAGCAGTGGCTGGACAAACTCTTGTCAGGGATGCTGTAGGCTGATTCTGCATTGAGCAGGGGGTTGCACTAGGCTTGTATGGCCCCTTTCTCTGTGATTTCATGATTCTATTATTCGATGCTGAAGAACACCTTCCTGAACCTGGTGGTGGCTTAATAGTGCATCAGGGTAGGGGGTTGAGGCTGGGCACCTCTCAGCACTCTATGTGAGGGTGAGGATAAATAAGGCCAGTGGTAGCCGCTGGGTTTGGAACCAAGGTGGATTTGCTAGAACAAAGGCGGCGATGGACAGGCTGCCTAGTGCAGCCCAACCTCAATTTAATATTCATATAAGTAATTGATGACAGAGACCAGAAAGTTGAATAAATTTAAATAAACCAGTTAAACTCATGCCGTTGTCTTGAGTCTCCATTTGGGGTACTGGGACAAAAGTACTGGTCTTTTTCTACAAGCTAGCACATAAAAAGATACTATTTGTAATGACAAATATGGATTGTGTATATAAATAGCAATTAGTGATGTCTATAGAACCAGAAGTATAAAACAATAATAAATTCAGCCAACAAGAGTGAATGATGAATAAATTACAGGAAATTGAGTTTGGCTTTTAATATTAAAGTGCACTGAAAAAAGCTAAGCTGTATAGAATTAATAATTGAATTTTGTATATTATACTCATGCTGACAGGTATATTGAAGCTTTTAGTATATTTGCATAATGTGCCATTATAAGACTGAGTTGCTTACTTAATTTTCTTTTGAAGAAAATTGCCTGGACTGTCTTAATTTCTAAAAATGATTTCATTTTCCATGAGACACAGATAAAATGTACATATATGGTGGTGTTTCAAGAAAGTATATCTGAATGTGGAATATATTAAAAAGCTGTCATCACAATCTATAATCAGCAAAATTATTAGTCAGCTCAGCACATTTTATCACAGCTAGTACCTCTCCTCATATAAACACTTGTGCTTAAAATATTTCCAATCGAGCCTTAAAAATGTAACCACTTAAACACAGCTATATAAGTAATAATTAAACACTTGCTTTTCTACTCATGCCATGTGCTTTTGTTCTGTCCTACCACTTGAATTGGATCAAAAACTAATTTAGAGCACAAAAAATTGAACCAAAATTAAAGTGATAAATTATCCCTATTATTAACTCATTAACAAAAGATAAAATGTGGGGCTAAGGAGAGAACCTGCAATCACAATCTGAACTCCAGAAAACTAATTCAAAATATGTGCCAATAGGAGATTCAGAATAAATTATATTTTGTACCTTTGTACAAAATATGCCTCTCTTCAACATAAACCAGGGATTTAAATACCAGGAATAAATTCTTTAACACATATAATCCTGAGGTACCCCATATCTTTCCCTTATATATAAAGGCACTAGAAATAAGGCCCGTTGTAGAAATAAATAGAACGGGATCTAGAAAGAGGCTCTGGGAGAGTGCGCTGGCTTTGGGCAAACAGTGTCAATTTGCTGTGGCGACCTCAGCAGCGTATAATGACAGAGTCCACTGCTTTCTCCAGAGGGACTGATCTGTGCTACCTGAGGAGCAGTTGTAATTTTGAGTGATCTCTAGCCCTCACCTGGAGAGTGGCAACAATTGTTACCCAGGCTCCACCCCTCAAATCTCCAGGAATTTCCATACCTAAAGCTGGCTTCACACTTATTTACTGGGATGAGTTTTTTTGTTTCTCTGTGATTCTCATCATTTGGGGCTACAGGTTCCTTGAAGCTGACAAATAGCTACTTCAAAGCTATCTTCTAAGGCATGTGAAATCCTGTTGTCTTGAGATAGCATATTGAATTAGGGTCCAGCTGCAATTGCTTATTGTCCTTAAATTGTGAGTCTCACACATCCATTGATTCAAACAGATTGTCCTTTTGGGTGTTATCACTGAGATAAAATCAGGGTTTGTTTGAACTTCTGTTTCCCATGAATTTGCATTGTGGATTTGAAGGCCCAGCTGCACAAATGGTTATGCATTTTATGGCCTGGGCAATTTTGGGTTTGTCACTTCTCATGCTGGCCTTCCTGACAAGTTGTTTAATGTAAGTCGCTCACACCTTGGGGGCTGGGGAATGGAATGTTGATTATACTGAGAGCAACAGGGTTTTGGCAAGAATCATACTGAGCCAGGCTGTGACTGTCTGTTAAAAAAAAACAGAGCCAGATATACATATGTGGATTTCATAAACTGTTTGGTTCATTTTTAAACCCAAACCCTCCCATATTTTCTGAAAATTCTTACCACACTCTTCAGGTAGCAGAGATCAGTTCCTCTGGAGAAAACAGTGGACTCTGTCATTATACCCTGCTGAGGTCACCACAGCAAATTGACACTGTTTGCCCAAAGCCAGAGCACTCCCCCAGAGCCTCTTTCTAGATCTCGTTGTATTTATTTCCACAATGGGCCTTATTCCTAGTTTACTCATATAATACAGAAATAGTCTTATGCTGTAGTTCTACTCTTCCTGCATTACTTAAGTTTTTCAAACCAGTAACTGAATTTCTAAGCATACAAAGTCATACTAACACATCCAAACCAGTGTTACCTCTAAGCTGAGTTAGTGTGAGCTAGCTCACAGTTTTTTAGCTTCCAGCTCACACATTTTTGTCTTCGCTCAGGAAGGATGGCTCCAGAGCAAACTGATTTATGCAGTAGCCAAATCGCTTGCTCACAACTTTAATGCCAGTAGCTCACAAAACAGAGTTTTTGCTCACAAGACTCCATAGCTTAGAGGGAGCATTGATCCAAACCCAATTATGCACTATGGAAATCCATACAACCTGGATATGTGTAACTAAATGCAGGATTGCAGTTTAAATACATTGCAAATATTAAACTTTGGTTGCAGAAAACATTTTAAGCATTATCACCATTTCATTCCTCATAGCTGCTATATGTTATGGGAAACATACTGTATATACAGATAAATGCAGATTATGTATACTGCTCTGAACCTCTTGGTGAAAAAGAATATCAACCTAATGAAAAGAAGTAAATGTACAAGAAATAGTAATTATATGATTTCCCATTTGAAGCAGGGGTTTCACTACTTGAACAGAGGAAAACCAAAAAAACCCCTCAAGAGTGAATAACAGGCCAGAAGACTTGACTGTCTGAAGGAAAAATTTCTCATCATTGATATCCTTGAACCTGACTTGCTCCTTTCAGCTCTTAATGCAGTAAATCTTTTCAGCACCAGCAGGTGCAAACATTAACAGCTCAATGTCCTCTTGGCCAATATTTGTGTGCTCTATTTATTCCAATCACAGCCATGGTACTGAGTCAGACAGCACTGCAGACAGATTTTAAGAAAATACTGCTCTTCCATTAATTTTAAATGTCCTTTTAATCTACATGTAAATTTGAGTTGTATGGAAATGCATCATTTTGTCATCAAGTGTGAAAGAGAGGGGAGACTGAAGAGGTCATCAAATGAAGGTTATACTTTAATCTCCAGAAACTAGCAGCACACTTGTAAAGATGCAAGGATATGGAAGAAATTATCTTTCCTTGTCATAAGAACACTCTTTTGGAAAACAAAGAAAACACATCAAACCCATGTTCAGACCACCAGTGTACTGCTGAAGTTCTCTGCCTGTCATTTATGATAAATGTGCAGTAGTGAAAAGCCAGATTATTTAGAATTAGCCTTTCCACCCCAAATTTTCATGAAACATTCAGGTCTTCATAGGACCAGTGAAATCAAACACGCATGTTCACTGAAGTCTGCCAGTAAGCAGTAAGTCTGTTAAGAACAGGAATATTGGCGTTAGAATGAAATGAGTGGTTTACTACAAAGAAATTTTGGTTTCTTTATCTTTGGTAACATTAACAGCCCAAATTCCATGAAGAATATAAATAGCAACAACATTAACAGAAGAAAATCAAAAGTACTACATGTGCACTTGTGTTACAATTCTCCATCTCCCTGTCCAAAGTGAAACACATTAAAATGGATAGCTGAAGAATGAACCTCGCTTCATTGATGTCTCATTTCATGAATTTTACTAAATGTATTCTATCATATATGAGCACACTCATATATGAGGAGCAGAACTACAGACTCAACAATATTATGAGTAGAGATTATTCATGTATTTCAAATGTTTTTCTTTAACTGAGAATTCCCTCTCATGCCATGTGCCCACTTTTTATGTCAAATTTTCCAGTCTACTTTCATTGCTTGGGGGGTCAACAGTAGGAGGGCTTCTAATGTCCTGGCCCCACTGGTGGACCTCCTAATGGCACTGGTATTTCTGGCCACTGTGTGATACAGAGTGTTGGACTGGATGGGCCTTTGGCCTGATCCAACACGGGCGTCTCTTATGTTATGTTCTTATGTTCTTATGGCTTTCTTAATCTCAAGGTCTCATTTATACCTTCACACAAATATCTCCTGGTCTTCTACACTATCTGAACTGGCTTGTTAAAGAATTTAGAAACTTAAATATGAAATGTTCAGCTGCTGAACTTGCAATAGCGAGCATTCTAATCAAACAAAATTATGAAGGGACACTAAGTTGGCTAATTAGTTCATATATGTGTTTTTATTTTATAGCAATTATGAGCCAGCCAGTGGGAAAGATAGCTTTGAAACTGAAGCTTCAAGTTGTATAGGTAATAAGCTGCAGGAGAAGAACATTTGTCACTTGGACATAATTAACTTGAGGTTTATCGGCTGGTTGCTAAATCAGGAGATACTGCACCTGAAGAGACAAAAGATGTGATGCCCCCCCAGGTATAGGTAATCTATTACACCAATAGCTACCAAATACATTTGTGTTATAGATAAAAATACCAGTAGACATCTTAATATCTTACCATCTGTCACTTCTAACTGAGCCTTTGCTAAAATGCTCCCCGCAACAGTGAGCGCTTGGCAGATGTAGTAACCAGCATCAGACCTCTGAATGTTGGTAATAGTGAGATCCCCTGTAGGTGACACAGAATACCTGCTGTTGGGCTGGAGAGGCTGGTTTGGAAAGAGAAGATTCTGCAAAGAAACAATGCATAACATGTGACATGTGAGCCAACAATAATTCAACAAGCAGGTGCATTTGTTATTGTTTTTGTTGCCGTCAAGTCACAGCTGACTTATGGTGACCCCCTAGGGTTTGCAAGGCAAGGGACATTCAGAGGTGGTTTGCCATTGCCTGCTTCCATGTCACAATCCGGGTATTCCTTGGTGGTCCCTCATCCAAATACTAGCCACGGCCTATCCTGCTTAGCTTCTGAGATCTGATGAGATCAGACTAACCTGGGCTATCCACAACAGGTTAATAAATATTATAGTAGTATTAATAACCAGAAACATTATTGAATAATGTAAAGTTTGAGTCCAGTGGCATCTTTAAGATCAACAAAGTTTTATTCAAGGTATAAGCTTTCATGTGCATGCACACTTCTTCAGATACAATGAATGGAAATTACCAGTCCATATATATAGGTAGAGGGTGAGCAGTGAATTAGCATACAGCATAATGAAGATGTTTAACAGAGTCAAGGACCAAACAGGAACAACAAGCTTAGTTTATATGGTTACCATTTGTTTGGGTTTAATTCTGGGGGGAAACATAGTGAAGAAAATAAATACAAAATTGGAGATTGATGACTTAATTGTGGAATGCTGAAAGTAATTAACTGAGACCCTGCTATTACGCTCCATCCATCTCCTCTCAAGTGTGGAGGCAACCTTACAGCAACATCTTCTTTAAATTAGGGTAAGTGGTTGTGTAGAGTTATCTCCCCTGTTTCCTGAACAGAGAAATACATTACACTCTACCATTCCAATTTACATTACATTCTACTATTCATTACTTTACATTACAATCTACTATTCTAATCTATTATTCCAAATAAGAAATAAAATAAAATAAAGAGGACGTATGGCCCTTCTGGGGGATTGGCGAATGAAGTTAGCATATGCAATGAGATAAGAAGCCAATATCCCTGTTAAATCCTGGAAATCCCATTGTTCTGAGTGTTGTAATAACTTGCAACTTGGCAATTTCCCTTTCTAGTCTGTTCCTGAAGTTCCTTTGCAATAAAACAGCTACTTTGAGGTCACCCATTAAATGTCCTGGAAGGTTGAAGGGTTCTCCTACAGGTTTCTCAGTCTTGTGATTCTTTTTTTTTATTTTCAACACTTTTTTATTGAAGTATAAAAAATGCATACAACTGTTAAAGTAAGATAGAACCACTTCAATTTTAACAAAAAATAGTACTAATAACAACATAATCTATACATCAATCATCAAGAACAAATATACAGTCAACATTTAACTAATCTCAATATTGTACTGGATATCTTTATATTTTGGAGAAGAAATTTTTTAGCAATAAATCAGGTAAATATTAATCTTTGACAGACCTTTTAACACTACTTTTCACTATGTAGAATGTTGACCTATTATAATTTAAACTTATCTGTAATAGGATATATCCTCATGTCCCTGTTAAGACAAATTCTACCTTTCGACTTCCTTCAGAGCCAATCAATATATTTCTTCCAAGAGGGTGGTATGTATTTTTCAGCTTCTAAGAAGGTAAGAATAGGAAACCACTTTGCACTAAACCTCATATCAGGCTGGTCAGTTTTTGCAGCATTACATTTTCCAGTAATACTTTCCATTACATATTGGTCCCAAAGTTTTTGGAACCATTCCTGGATAGTGGGTGGATTTGGATTCTTCCATTTTGATGCTATTGCAGTTCTCGCCGCATAAAGCATTGTTTTTAATATACTTTTATAATGATGCTGATCTATATTATCTGGCCAGAAATCTAGCATTAAATTTTCAGGAGTATATATAAGTTCTATGCCTAGGATTTGTTTTATTTTCTTTAGGATTTCCAACCAAAACGGGCGTATTTCGCTGCATAGCCACCAGCAATGTGCAAAAGTACCTATTTGTCCACATCCCTTCCAACATAACGGTGAGTATTTTGTGGATATTCGCGCTAAGGTTTGTGGAGTAAGATACCATCTTGAGTTAATTTTAAGTCTGTGAAGCTCTAAAGAGTAAGATCTGAAGTCTGAATTGCTGGATTTCCAGATCTTATTCCAGATTGGTGCATCTCTGCGTGCTAGCCGCCGCCAGCGCCATTTTAATCCCCAAGTCAAGTCCGTTTTCTCTCAATAGGCTTGATTTGTAACAAGTGTCCCGATTCTTTCTTAAATGTTATAATCCATAGGAAAATTAATAGCAGTACCTTCGGCCAAACTTTCCCTTTTATTCCCGTAGCTTTTTTCCACGTCCTCGTTCCTCCTTACTGTCCGCCGCCGCCTCCCTAATGGTTGAGGTTCTCTAGGTAGGGATAAGCGTCCCATACGCTTTCAAGTTCTCGTTGGGGAGTACACCCGTGTAGACAAAACAAACAAACATCCTTCTTCATGATATGGAATCATGCGGGGGGGAAAAGAAAAAACTGAGAAAAAATACAGACAAGAAAAAAAAGCTTTAAAAGTGGTTCGGTCGCCTCTGTGAGCGCGTTTCCGCGCTCCTCCTCCTCGTCCTCTGCTTCAGGGCGGCCGGCAACACCCCCCGCGATTTGCAATCAGTCTTGTGATTCTTGATGTCAGATTTGTGTCAATTTATCCTTTGTTGTAGGGTTTGACCTGTTTGCCCTACGTAGAGAACAGAAGAGCATTGTTGGCATTTAATGGCATATACAATCTTGGAAATTGAAACTGAAGTTGAGCAAACTCCAGAGGATGGCAGAAGACAGGCGGGCCTGGCATGATGTGGTCCATGGAGTCGTGAAGAGTTGTATTTGACTGTGTGACTGAACAACAACAACAACAATCTTGGAAAATAAGCAAGGAATGAGCCTGAGATGATGAAGTTGATATTGTTAGGTCCAGTGATTGTGTTGTTTGGGAGTATGTGGCAGCAAAGTTGGCATCTGGGTTTATTGCAAGCTCTGGTACCAATGTCCATGTTCAAATCAGATGTTGTATTATGGTAGATGAGTTACTCTCAATTATTTATTTAAATTGAGAAAAAGGTAGAAGAATTTATAAGGAACTTTCTGTAGAAAGTAAACATAGCACCAGGAAATAGTATTTTATTGAACAGAATGTGAAGCTATTGGTAATTGCAACATCTGTACCATTATAACTTTGGGAGCCTGAGATGGGGTCCTAAGAAAATTTAGGAATTACATGTAGGCTCGGAAGAAATAATTTCAACATTGCACAAAGATGCTGTGTAGTTAGGCTCCTGCTTCATAACAAGTATATTTTGATTGTATTTTTCTTTTTTTATTGTATTTTTCTTTTTTTAAAATTTATCATATTTATTAGTCAATAATACTGGCATCCGGTGAATACCACATATGATCAACTGGGATGCTGAATATCAGTCCATGGGATAAAACAGTAACAGATTATTAGCAGAATATATTATTTAAAGTATAAAAACCTGTGTTTTTCAACAAAAGTGGTAAGGAAAAGATCACTTTAATTTCTATAATTAATTAATTTATGTTATTGGAATTGCTCTACACTTAGAAGAATGGGGTCAAAGAAGTACATACATTCCCTGACATAAGGTTGGTGCACTTCTGTGGAGTTCAACTGCAAGCTTTATGGAAACGGTTACCAAATACACAGGACCAGCTGCTGATGCATAAACTGGCAGTAGACTAACTCCAGTGGGAACAGATCTCCTCCCTTCCAGCTGGCTGTACTTAGCAAGATAGGATGGAGGAACAGGTCCAAAGTGAAGGATGCTGTATAATTTATTGAAGAGAGCGGACATAAGTAGCTGAACTCAGCTCTACCACAGAGGTATTATAAAAGACAGTTTCTGATGAGGAAGAAAAGATCCCTTGACAAAATTAAATGACAGAGAGTTTATTTTGGGGGGGGGGGAACTAAGTACTTGGCATGTACACATTTAGAGAAGCCTGAAGTACCATGTTCTTGAATTTGATAATAAAATATAGTGACTGGATTTTTAAAACAAGTTAATAGTCTTACAACAAAGCCTGTAAAATTTCATATTAGGATGGAAGCATTAACCTGGTTAACCTCTGTTGCTTTGCTGCAGCTCAATTAAGAAAAAAACATGTGGGTATAATGAATCACATTGAGCTATGTTTCAAGGTTTGATTATAAACAACTAAGGTATCAATTTCAATGTTACATTTATTTGCCAAAAAACAGAGAACATTCTAACCTCCTGGGATCTGAGTCTCAATATTGTAATTAATTCTCCAGGTTTGTAATTAAACAGCTTCAACATGTTACAATCAGTAGGTAATAACATTCAATTAAAGACACAAGACACATTTTTACCTTAAAATGTTTTACCCTTGAAGTAATACCAATGGAAGAGGACAAAATAGGATATTAACACTTTTCAATTACGCTAAATGACTTTAATCCTGCAAATGATGTCCTACTTTAATTAGAAGCTCTTCTCTTTATTACAACATGATGGATGTCCACTTTATTAGATTCAAGTGTGACACTATAAGCCCACTTTACATAAACATTACCATGTTATTAAGCCTCTTTTACAAGAAGGTTTCTAAAATGTTTGCTAACACATCAGTTCTTCCTGGTATAATTTCAAAAATGGTGTTACATTTTCCTCTTGAAGCACTTTTAACATATATAAACCAGTACTTGGAACAGCAACATGAACAAACTTAAGATCTGCATAACAATGCAAAATAAAAAGAGCTAGAGAAGATGTTTAATAGCACCAGTGACCAAGATTATCAATGGTGTTACTATTTAACAAAATAGGCACATCTACAAAATTTAGTTGAGAGTATGTTGGGATATCCATCTCTATCAGTTCCCAAAAGTTTAAACAATACTGACGGGGAATGCTAATGATGAAACAAATCACGTTAGAGAAAACAATCACTAAGCAATACAAGCAATAAAGGTACCTTAAAGTATATCTGATGCCAGACATGGCTAATATTGTTTGGTTTGAAAGTGTAATGGAAAGTTTAAAATAAAAAGAAACACAAAGG